CAAAGCGTGTATTTATCACGGCTCATAATAATAGAAGTAAAAGATTACATCTCAAAATGAAACAAACTCAGCTTTACAAGTTCATTCACAGTCAGATCTTATATCTTTGTTTATAAAGTGTGGTTGTTTTACCTTCTGGCTAAAATTAGCTTTCTAGCGTGGCACAATCACTCCCAGCAAACTGCCGAATCCACAACCCAATAGAGGTGGACTTTACAAGCAAATAGAGGTGGACTCTATGACCAAATAGAGGTGGACTCTACAACTGAATAGAGGTGGACTCTACAACTGAATAGTGGTGGACTCTACAACTGAATAGAGGTGGACTCTACAACGGAATAGTGGTGGACTCTACAACTGAATAGAAGTGGACTCTAGACGAATAGGGTGGACTCTACAACTGAATAGAAGTGGACTCTACAATTGAATAGAGGTGGACTCTACAACTGAATAGAAGTGGACTCTATGACCAAATAGAGGTGGACTCTACAACTGAAAAGAAGTGGACTCTACAATTGAATAGAGGTGGACTCTACAACGGAATAGAAGTGGACTCTATGACCAAATAGAGGTGGACTCTACACCCGAATAGAGGTGGACTCTACAACTGAATAGAGGTGGACTCTATGACCAAATAGAGGTGGACTCTATGACCACATAGAGGTGGACTCTACAACTGAATAGAGGTGGACTCTATGACCACATAGAGGTGGACTCTACAACTGAATAGAGGTGGACTCTATGACCACATAGAGGTGGACTCTACAACTGAATAGAGGTGGACTCTACAACTGAATAGAGGTGGACTCTACAACTGAATAGAGGTGGACTCTATGACCACATAGAGGTGGACTCTACAACTGAATAGAGGTGGACTCTACAACGGAATAGTGGTGGACTCTACAACTGAATAGAAGTGGACTCTACAACTGAATAGAGGTGGACTCTATGACCAAATAGAGGTGGACTCTATGACCACATAGAGGTGGACTCTACAACTGAATAGAGGTGGACTCTACAACTGAATAGTGGTGGACTCTACAACTGAATAGAAGTGGACTCTATGACCACATAGAGGTGGACTCTACAACTGAATAGAGGTGGACTCTATGACCAAATAGAGGTGGACTCTACAATGAAGGGTGGACTCTATGACCACATAGAGGTGGACTCTACAACTGAATAGAGGTGGACTCTACAACTGAATAGAGGTGGACTCTATGACCACATAGAGGTGGACTCTACAACTGAATAGAAGTGGACTCTACAATTGAATAGAGGTGGACTCTATGACCAAATAGAGGTGGACTCTACAACTGAATAGAGGTGGACTCTACAACTGAATAGAAGTGGACTCTACAACTGAATAGAGGTGGACTCTACAACTGAATAGTGGTAACAGCCTCTACTCTTCTGGGAAGGCTTTGCAACATTGCTGTGAGGATTGGATTGCATTCAGCCAAAAGCAGTGGATGTTGAATGATTAGTTCTGATTCACAAATGACTCTCCGGCTCATCCTAAAGGCTCGTTCACTCCACAGTGTGTAGTTCTGCAGCTCCACAGCCTTTATCCCCGTTTAGCTGTGGCAGTGGCAATCTTAGGCTCATGTGCAGCTGCTCCAGAGTATCCCATTCTACCACATTGCTTTTCCATGCAGGTTCTGTGACTGCGTATGCACCTGTTTCAGCAGTGAGTGCACCTGAGCGTAGCTAAACCCACTCATTTGAAGGGCCGTCTGGATACCTCTAGATATACAGTACAGTTTGGATAATAAATTGCTTAAGCTCTTACAAACCATTCCGACATACGTCGAACATATTGAGCTATTTAGCACATGAAGTCTTGAAGCACGGTTTGAATGCATCGGCCAAAAATCTGCCCGTCTGCCAATTCTTGATTGGGGCTTTAATGTCTTTGCTGTGTCTGAAGGAAAAAAAAAAATGTGCATTTGTTTTGCAGGAGGATCTGTGGTCTCAAAGACTAGGACTCTGTGAGATTAGAACTGCATCTGTATGTTTTATAGTAAGAGAAATGTACTTGAAATATGCATGTCATACTGTAAAAGAACACAGGGTATTCCACCAGAGGATACCACATGGTCTTTTTAAACATTCTGACTTGTATTGTTAGAATCCTCTGCGAACGACGTCAATAATTAATTTGTAAAAGTCATCACTATCCATTTTTTATAGCCCATTCCACCCATTTCGTCATTTTAGCTCGCCGTTTGAATCCATGATTTATACCTTCGCCCTGCAATAGAGCACAATAGAGCTATTCAGAAACCAAGAAGAGATATATATATTTAAGCCACGTTTCAGTGTATATTAATGCCATTGAAACCTTTTACACACGTTATTACACAAAAGCAGTGCTGAACCTGCTCATACGTCAGGAACGTGGACCACTTTTTCTCTGATGAAGTGCAGCGTGGTACAGATATGATGGAAAAGCTTAGACAGTGTCTACCCCTGCTTCTCATATCATACAGACAGGCTTTTGTAACACACCTCAAAAAGTAGGGTTTGAGTTTGAAATCAACCCAATTGTTGCCAAAGTAACCTCAAAGACAGCGACTGCATTGATGTACTGTGTTTTATCCATGTGGAACTAATTTGAACACTTTAGAATCCAGTGTGTTCTGTGTGATTAGCCTGGTCAGTCAGTGAGAGCTGAATGAATCTGTGAAGTTCATGTTGGAAAAGGCTCTAAAGCTCAGGTTTTCAGCCTGTGGGCCTCGTGGTGCTACTGCTTGGGGGGCATTGGCCATGAGCTTTTTTAGAGCACAAAAAAATCATTACAATCTAGACATTTAATGCCATTATTTGCAGGAGTAAATCGTCTTAGCCTTATTGAGCTTTGGCAGAGTGCTGGCTTTTGCGTTTGTATTTTCATTGCAAGTCAATGTAAAACGTTTCACTTTTCAACCAATTCAGTTTCAGAGTTCAGTCTTTTGAAAAGATACTAGATGTACATCAGACGTTTTTGTTCATATATGCCAGAAATAGTTTTAACCGCTTTCTGCGGGCTCTTTACTGGTCATTCCGCTGGTGGAACGAAATCTGCTTGGATGATTTTAATTAATATAATCAAAAAATATTTCCCGATTACTCTTATCAGATTTACTAGGACGTTTACTAGTTGACCTTCTGTGTGAAATGTCTGACTCTGTGTTGAGCTGCTAGTGAGCAATGAGGAGTGAAAGAGGAAGAGTGAAAACCCCCTGCTGTGAAATACAGCTCACAACTCTTCACAAAGATGGCCGTGCCGAGATAAAATGGCTTTCTTGATGTCAAAAAAATCCAGTTCTTTTCTGGTTTTGTAAGAGATACATATTATCTCAAAATATATATTTTATCAACATTATTGAAGGGAAAAAAGGATTGCGTAATGTCTGCGTGGGCTTCCTCCTCTGGTTTCTTCCCACAGTCCAAAAACATGCAGTCAGGCCAATTGGACAAGCTAAATTGCCCCTAGGTGAATGTACATGTCTGTCTGTCTGCCCTGCAATGGACTGGCGACCTGTCCAGGGTGTTTCCTGCCTTCTGCCCAATGACTGCTGGGATAGACTCCAGCTCCACCTGTGAAGGATATACGGTTTAAAAAATGGCAAATAAATAATGCTGGATTTTTTTTTCACAATCATTTTCTCATAAAAATACTACAATATTAACTGGAGAACAAAGCTTAAGTTGGCTAAATAAAGCCATTACTGTGAAATCTCTGGTGGTTGCTAAGGTGTTGCTAGGCTTTTGTTATCCCAGTTTGTTGCTAAGATTATCCTCTGTGGTTGTTAAGGTGTTGCTGAACCGCTGCTATGGTATCCCAGGTGGTTGTTATGGTTTTGCTAGACCGCTGCTATGGTATCCCAGGTGGTTGTTAAGGTGTAGCTGGACTACTGCGATGGTATCCCAGGTGGTTGTTAAGGTTTAGCTGAACCGCTGCTATGGTATCCAAGGTGGTTGTTAAGGTGTTGCTGGACCGCTGCTATGGTATCCCAGGTGGTTGTTAAGGTGTTGCTGAACCGCTGCTATGGTATCCCAGGTGGTTGTTAAGGTTTTGCTAGACCGCTGCTATGGTATCCCAGGTGGTTGTTAAGGTTTAGCTGGACCGCTGCTATGGTATCCTAGGTGGTTGTTAAGCTTTTGCTGAACTGCTGCTATGGTATCCCAGGTGGTTGTTAAGGTGTTGCTGGACCGCTGCTATGGTATCCCAGGTGGTTGTTAAGGTGTTGCTGGACCGCTGCTATGGTATCCCAGGTGGTTGTTAAGGTTTTGCTGGACTGCTGCTATGGTATCCCAGGTGGTTGTTAAGGTTTTGCTGGACCGCTGCTATGGTATCCCAGGTGGTTGTTAAGGTGTTGCTGGGCCGCTGCTATGGTATCCCAGGTGGTTGCTAATATGTGTGTATATATGTGTGCGTATGTATGTAAGTCTGTATGTAATGTTTTGAATCAGATTAGATTATTTATTCTCCTCCAAAGAGGAAATTTGTATAGACACAAAACAAACATAAGTACAGGCAACCCACCCATAAAGCACCAGCGTAAGGCATGTGTATCAGTTACATCCTTGAAAAGCAGACTTTTTTTTCCCCCCCAATCTTTTAAACCAACATAGAAATGGTACAATAAAATGGTGCAGAAAAATCCCATATTTATTTTTTTTATTTCAAATTTAATGTTCTTGCAACTTTTGCATGTGACTGTAAAACCATTTTGACGTTTTGCACATTATTTAAGGTTCACTGCAATTTTTTAACTGATTTAATTTGTTCATTTTCCATAGTGCAGAGTTTCATTGGTTTATAAATGAACTAAGTGAAATGTATTCTAAAGAAACTTCTGTGCACTATGAAACATAAACTGTATTTGTTGCTACTGTATTTGCTGCTGTGTCATTGTTGTAAATTGATGCAATTGTACCATAACAAAGAATCTGTGTGTAATGGGAGTTTTATGAGCCTTAACCTCAGCTCTACTTGGTTTGAGCGAGTCAGCATGCTGGTGATTTTGCTCAACTGCGTCACCCTCGGCATGTTCCAGCCCTGCCAGGACCTGGAGTGCCACTCGGACAGATGCAGCATTCTGCAGGTACAGTAGGAAGCAGCAAAGCTCTTACTAGGTTTAATGTCTTTATTTTAGTTGTTGTTTTTTGACTGTGTGCCCCTGTGCTCTTTGTCCCTGTGTGTTTTTGCATGCTGCGCACGCGCACACACACACACACACACACACACACACATACATACATACATACACACACACACACACATACATACATACACACACACGTTTGTCTTGCTATACATATGAAGACGTCCATAGGTTTCTATTGATTTTTGTGTTACTGTAGCTAAACAATACTACACCTAAACCTAAACCTAACAAAAACCTTAACCTCAGTATCCAAAAGGCAATTTTTCTGCTCTTTTAGTTTTCAAATAAAACAAGTGGTGAAAACAACACAAAATGTCCTCACTTAAGCAAAAATGTCATATATTCCTATCATAGCGAGGACATGGGACACATTCTGCATCTCCATTTCCAGCATTTGAAAACGGCAGCTGCCCTTTATACTGTGTGCTAATTTCATGATTAACGAACGAATAGCCCCGCCCACTCACACTGAAGTTCTAAGGAGTGTTTCCGCCCAGGCTGCATTTGGCATAAGACACGATCAGAACAGAGGTCATTTACATAAATCAGCCTTACAGGCCAGTAACACATTGAACTCAGCAAATACTGTCTACATGATATATATATGATACATACACTCACTGGTTGGAACATGTAACCACTGTTGCTCTCACTGGACATCGGTGATGAAAACTGGGAACCGAATGGAAATCGTGATTTTTCGTGTATCCTGTGATGAACCATGATGAAAGTAATATTGTTGAATTGTCGAGTAATTAATGCATTTTGATAAATCTTATTTTCCTTCATATAGCTATAACAAAATGCAAAAAAAAATATTTCTTGAGGTTCGAATTAGAAAAGAAGATAAATATGACTGAGATTAACGTTTTTCCTAGCATGAAAACACAATGTCAGGCGAAAGGCTGTGTACTGTTTCCATATCATGGAAATGTTTTCCTTTTTTTGTCCATCATCCATTTTTTAAATAAAACTGTATGTATGGATGTAGTGTGTAAACATTGCTAAAGTTTTAAAACCTCATCCATACAGTTTATATATAGAAATTCAGCTACAAATCAGCCCACTTTGAATGCATTGTTTTCATTATGTCACAAAAACCAGCAAACTCCTCTCGGCCAACACACAGATAGTGCTTAATTTTTACTGGCCATCAAAACTACAATATTATTACCAAAAACCCATGTTTTTGTTTCATTTTGTGTATTTAAATTTTTCTCAATAGCTTTCTAATGGTGTTCGAAAAAAGGTAAACATGTAAACAAACTGTCATTGTTAGCAACCAACAGCCATTTAGGAAATTGTCTGAAGTTGATGTAGAACACATTTATTTCTTAGGACTATCATCACCCCTATGAGAGCTAAATGACCATGTATATCACAAGCGGCAATCCCGGGAGTCCAAGCACTATGTGCCTTTTGGAACAAGTAAAACATAAATGATAGGTTTTTAGAATGGCCTTTATTTGTAATGGATACGGGGTCTCAAAGTGAGATTTCTGACCTTTTGACCTTGCTATAATCCACATATCTAGAAATCAGTACAATATTTTGACATGGTGGACATGTATTTTTTAGCTGTACAACTCAATAAACTAAATAATTCTACAAGTTCACCTGTACTTTAGTCTCAGAGTGCACCAGAATTTTTGGTTAAAATCACATTTTCTCCTAGGAACGATGCTGCCAGAGAATTGGTTTCTGAACTTGTCACCTTTTTTGCTCCATGAGTTTTCAGATCTGTGTTTTAAAGACAGACAGGTTGGAAAATAGTCATGCAAAAGTAAGTTATGACTGTTTTTGCTTCATAAAACCACACAAACATTTAAAGCAGACCTCAGAAGGAAAAAATAAAGTCTATGAATATTATAGTATATGGGCCTTCGTATGTCTTTCTATATTGTTCTATTCAGTGACAGCAGTTTTGTCTCCCTATAGGCGTTTGACGACTTCATCTTTGCATTCTTTGCTGTGGAGATGGTGGTTAAGATGGTGGCTCTGGGGGTGTTTGGACCAAAGTGTTACCTTGGTGACACGTGGAACCGCCTGGACCTCTTTATCGTCATGGCAGGGTGAGTGACCAATCATAAAGCAGCACTGCAAAAGAGTCAAAAAGAGCCCCATTATCAGTGTGAGAGTGTGAGGGTGTGTGTGTGTGTGTGTGTGTGTGTGTGTGTGTGTGTGTGTGTGTGTGTGTTTAATGTCAATTCAAGTTTTAATGTCAGTTCCAGTCCTAATGTCAAGTCGATGTGTCACAGATATGCTCATGAATGACAATTACTACCAGGCAATCCCAAAGATCACCCAATGTGCACTCCAGTATGCACATAATCTCTCTCTCTCTCACTCCCTCACTGTCTCTCTCTCTGCATCTTTCACTGATCTGCACTCATTCCTCCCTGCATTACCCGTCCCCTTATTCTCTGCATATCCTTTCAAGTGGACCTTGTAGAATCTGACTCAATAAGTCAGACCTCTGTGACTTCTTTGACTTACAAAATGCAATGACTGGCCCAATAATTTGAGAACGAGTTTTCGTTCGTTGCTTTGGTATTCGCTTCTATATTTAGCAGGGGATGGAAAGACTCACATAAGCCGTGATATGATTCGATACAAGAAAATAAGGGGTGACTGAAAATGTGGCTTATGTTAACTGTTGCCAGGATTTCACAACAATTAACACATTCAGAGTAAAAAAAACTATTGATCAGTTTATTTTACAATCAACACATCTTAAGATATTTTTGTAATCACACTGCAAATGACATCTAATAATGCATAATTAAGGTAGTCTGTGCATATACAGTGCAAAACATGGTAAGAAATCAAGGATATTAGTTGAGGTGATGCTGGAACATTGCTGTAGATGTTTGATTGCAGCCACGAGAGCATTAGTGAGGTCAGGGACTGATGTCGGTTGATCGATTCTGGATCACTCCAGCTCATTCCAAAAGTATTACATGAAGCTTGATCTCTCCAGAGAACATAGTTCTACTGCTCTACAGCCCAATGCTGGGGGGACTTTATACCCCTCCAGCAGATGCTTGGCATTGGGCATGATGATCTTAGGATTAGGCTGCTTCAGAGTATCCCATCCAACTAGCAATGACTTTCTATCAACTCTTGTGTTGTGTTGGGGACTGTGGGACCCATCTGTTCTCCTCCTACATGGCCTGCTGTTAGTGTGTGTGTGTGTGTGTGTGTGTGTGTGTGTGTGTGTGGTGGACAATATGGACAGGCTGCTGACTGGCTACAGCTGCTAAAGTAGAATCCTACGCTGGACACTTTTGATATTTTAAACATCTGGTATTTTTACATAAATTGTTATGACTGTATTGATTTTAAAAAACAATATGTGGTGGGTCCAGCAGACCCCTGAGTAACAAACACATCAACACCACACAAGCGTTAAGATTACACAAGCTGCTTGCACAGTTGAACACCTGTGTCAGCAGTTAGTGCACCTCAGAGTAGCTGAATTCATAAATGAGAAGGGGAGTCTGGATACATATTTGTATGTTTATTTGTTGAAGTGAGTGTGTGTGTATTGTTTTGCACACAGGATGTTGGAGTACTCTCTCGATGGACACAACGTCAGTTTCTCTGCGATCCGAACCGTCCGGGTTCTCAGACCACTTCGAGCCATCAACAGAGTACCTAGTAAGTCTCTCTCTCGCTCTCTCTCTCTCTCTCTCACACACACTCACACTCACTCACACACAACTATTACACACTCAAATGCTCTAGAGCAGCTTTACTCACTGAGTGGCTCACTAAGCTTGAGTCATCGGCTCCCGTGGCAGTTAGTAATTACTGGATAATAGTCCTGCCTATAGCCTAATGCAGCCAATACAATTAGCACAACCAAACATTTAAAGTGATATTTTAATCATGGTCTAAGCTATATATCCAGCATAGGCTGAAGGAGCATGTTCTGAAACCTAGCGTATGAAATAAGCCCAGTTCTAACCCTAATTCGACGTTTTGTTTCTTCAACCCGAGACGTAGCATTTTCCTTTATTCATTCATTCATCTCATCCTTAATTCATTCCCTCAACTGTATCAAAATGAACATCTCATCAGCGACATGTTCAGAGACACTGTAAATATATATCAGTATGAAATCCAGTGGTGAGCCATAATGACAAAACCCACCTCTAATGCTCATTTCTGCTAGCGTCCCCCTGGGATTCTAGTAGTCTTTTAGTGCTAAGCTAACTGCAATTCACATGAACATTTTATTTGGTCGTTCTAGATTAAACACAGACATTTGCAGCTTCTAAAAGACATTCCATGTTTTACTCGAAGCCTCTTAGAGACACATTAGCAGTTTCACAGTGACTCTTTTTGTATTCGCTGCCAGTGACATATCTAGAACCTCCAGAAGGCGTAGAGTAACGTTTTCTTCTCGTGACATTGATTTTGAACTCGAAATTGGATTGGTTGATTCCTCTGTCACATTGTAGTTACATTGGTGGTTTATCTAGGTTAAACATGTTAGGGCTTCTCTTCAGTTCCTGAAGTCCTAACCAATAGGAGAGCTCACTTAGATATATCTACCTAGATCCCATGGAGAAAAACAACTCTTGATTAGCTAGTTTTCTGCTGGCTGTTTGAAGAATTTAACCATTTTGTTTCCCACCAAAACTTAACAATAAAACAAAGGTAGTTCTAAATTAAAAACTGTAGATTGATTTTTGTATTTTTTAGTGCATAGAGATCATCAGGCCTTCTCTGAAGGCCCTGAAGGTCCTGAGGCTTCCTCTCTGGTGGAACAAGAACAGGTGCTACCATGTTTTCTATCACTGTATATAAGAAGCTCCATGTTGCCTGCAAATTTTTTTCTGAGCAACCACACAGCACAATTCAGAGGGACAAACTCTTATTATTGTTTTATTTAATAAGAGTAACAATAAAAGGCCACTGATGTGCGCACTATATTTTTATTTAAATAAAGATCTATACATTTTCGGCTTCGTTAGATCACGACATGTTTTTGCATCAGCCTTAAAGGGATAAACAGGTGACACAATGCGACTAGAAACACACATTTCTCCTTGTATTGGCTACATTGTAGGAATACAGTGTAGGTTGCTGGAAGACTAATTAGCAGAAATATTTTCTACAGAGATCTGGTCGTCCCTACTAGTTCTCTCCTGAATGTGTTGCTCCTTTGGAGAAGAATAAAAACAGTCAGGGCCGCTGCTCTACAGTCTTGTGATGTAATGAAGTCGGGCACTGAGGCTGAGTGTTACTCTCTCCTTCGCTCTGCCATGCGTATTGATTTGAAATGATTTGGGCTGCACTGGGACGGAAAAAGATATGCGCGCAATATTTATAGACGCATACTCTCTCACTCATTCCATCGTGCACAGAGACGCAGTTACAGCTTCCTAAACATGCTGAAAAGCCGCTCACCGATGGTGACTTTTACAGCTCATTGTATAGAATTACTGCTTCCACATCTTGCAGTCTCCAGAGCACAAATAGAACATACAACGACTCGTAATCAGATGGACGATATCCAATAATCGGCTCACACCAGTGGTTTGAAATTAGTCTAATTAAGACTCCTGATAGTCTACTTAAGCATGAGCATTTAAACAGCATGGTTTCGATTGTCATCGACCAACCGAGGTCTCAGTCAAGCTCAAGGAATTGTTTGGTGAAAAAAATTATTTACCTAATTTTCTACTTAACCTACATGTAGGACGTGTCTGGAGTCCATATTTTATTTTAAAAACTAGAGCTAATAGGCTAACATTGCTAACAAATACTCAGTACAGAACTCAGTAGTCACCCAAATAGCCCAACAGGTTTCACCAAAACTTCTCCCAACCTGCCCAAACCCCATCCAGGTCTTCATTAAGGCCTCACAATCAAGTTGATGTGGTTTAGGACATAGTATGACTTTCTCTGAGCTATAAAAAGGAACAAAACATCACCGCTGCTTCAATATTCACAAAGCAGGACTGTTCTTGGATCCGATTCCTCCATATTTATGACGATCTTGGTCACAAATTCTAAATCAGCTCTCCAACATCCTGAGGTGGTTTGTGAATACAGGCTCGGCTTCTCTAAAGTGGCTGCCTGCAGCTTTGTTCATTTTTATAGCTCACAGTAAGTCACACTCTGCACTAAACCACATCGACAAGTCTCTGTGACCCTACTGAAGACCTGGATGCAGTTTCAGAAGGTTGAAAGAAGTTTTGATGATGCATTTTTACAGGAACAATTTGGGCTATTAGGGTGTGAGCTCAGTTCTAGTACTTGGTAGCAATTCAGATGGCACTAAAAACACTCCAGGAGAAGTTACGTTAGCTCACCTCATCCTATAAAATGAATGCAGTCCGAATAGGGCTTTAATTTAGTCCAGTTCCTTAAGCCTTATTCGGACGAGATTAGGTTTACATGAGGAGGTGAGGTAATGTAATTTTTACCAGCGTTTCTATGTAATTTTAGTCATAACCAAATTCCCACAAAAGTAAAGACTTCAGCACCTTTTACATTCTAAAAAACAAAGGATTCTTAAACAAAAGGATAAAAAAACAAAAGGTTTTATTAATCTAACAAAACACTATCATATTCTGTGGAAAAGGAGTGTTGAAGTATCAAAAAAGTGTGGAAGCCCAGCATTTACTTGTGTTTTCCTTGGATAAAATCAAGTCAATATGTACTGTCATACCTCAAGTGTATAGCTCAGAACATTAAAATGTAAAAACCATTACAGGAAAAAGGGGCTGATTTTCCTCAGTGATGCTGACCGTTGACTGTGATGCTTATGACAACGCTAATGATACACTCTGTTCACTAAGACAGTAAGATGTTTAGGATTAATGGAATAACAGGTAAATTGAGTGCATGAATGCAGTGCATAAACCCAGTAACCACTCCTTTGTCTGTCATTTAGACTGAGATTTATTATCCCGTGCGATTTGGCCATAAACATCACAGAAGTCCTGTGGTAAACTCACATTATATCACGTCCCCACATAACAGTAATCCTGCTTTAGGCTATTAACTTACACCATAATCGGTTGTACATGGGCATAATGGGCATAAGCAGGGTAATGTCAATTTTTCCTGCTGTGTCTCAGTGATTTTAGTCCCGTGCAGATCTTAATCTTGTCCGAATGCGACTGTCCGCTCCCTCGTCCGTCAAGATTCTTCTGGCTTTTGCCTTCCATTAAAAGAGCAGACATGACCTCAGGTTATACACAGTAACAGAACAGTGTTTGAATTCATGCGGTGATGTTGACTAAATTAAATCTGTGAATTCCCAAGCTAATGTCAATGATAACATTAATACTTATTAATATTAATGCTAATTAACACTGCATTCACTCAAGACAGCAAGACAGATGTTTTTTTGGAAGTGGAATAACAAATGAAATGTTTTGACGTGCCTGTTACCCACTTAAAAATGATGGTTCTTCAAGGGTTCTTTAGAAAAGAAAATGGTTTTATATAGAACCATAAACACTCAAAAAACTCTTTGCATATATTGTTTTTTAGAACCCTTTTTGAAAAGGCTTCTATATAGCACCAAAAGGGTTCTTCTATTGTGGTGATGTCAAGCTTGTAATAATAGAAGAACCTTTTTTAAAGAGGCTTTACACAGAACCATCTACAGCACATTCTTCATCAACCTGAAGAACCCTTTCGCAATGTAAAGAATCCTTTAATAATGCAGATGGTTCTTTGAGTGTTCACAGTTCTTTGTGGAATCATTTTCTTTACTAAAGAACCCTTGAAGAGCCATCGTTTTTAAGTGTGTGCTCTTTCCTGGAGTGAAGGCAGTGTGTAAATCTAGTAGCCCCACCCACCCCTGTCTTTTATACCGAGAGTGCTTTACCCTGTGCGGATCGGTCATAAACATAAACGTCCCTGTGGCAAACTGGCATCACCCCACTCCGGTCCGAATAGCGCTGCTGTCATGCTGCCCTGTGCTTGTAAACATAGTCACTGTTTGTGTTGTAGCAATAGTTCTGATTCAGCATCCGCAGAACGCCATGGTTTATGAAAAGTTCATATATCAGTAGAAAACACAGAAATATGCGCGCTCGGTTTCGAGCATGCTGGCAGCAAATAGATAAATAAGTCAGTTGAATGTGTGTGCAGCAGTGCAGTAATAGATTTTGGACTCGGTGAGGAATGAGACCCTGTGGCTGTTAAGTTTCCAATTCGATTACTCTCAAACCACTGAACAGGGCGTCAGCCAAGCACCGCAAGAGTGTGATTATGCACTCTGTCGGTGTGTGCGTTTGTGTGCATGTGTCTTTTTGCACATCTTAGCAAGGCTGTTCCATTGATTTGATGTTCCTTGTGTACTGAGGAACATGTTTGTGAATAAGCCTGCGTATGTTCGAGTCCTTCTGTAGCTTGTTCAGTTGGTTAGGTGCTCAGGATACGAGTGATGCGCGGAAAAGCATGTCCATGTGTGCATTAACCTTTACCCCTGTGTGTTTGGTGTCTGCATGTGAAGGTATCGCACGTGTACAAGCGCCCGTTTTAATCCAGTCACTGGATTTGTATTAGTCTTACGCAGAATACTTCAGTTTTGAAATAAAGCAGGAATGTCAACACACTACACTACATGCAAACTTGTCTGGATTACGTCCGTTTTACAGGGATATTCATCCTGAGACCTGAACAAGCAC